TTGCGTAAGTGCGCAACGTTGTTATCCGCTTGCCACCCACAGTCAAGGCCTATCCCCTCATCACTGTGAATCTTCTGATATATGAAAGCTAATTAGGACATTCTTCGAAGGTAAGCCAATAAATAGAATCAAAGCTGGTCAAAGAAAAAAGACGCCACAGTACATTTGCTTTTTTGCATAATTTTTCGGATTGATGCTGAATTTCCCCCAAGAAGGTTGCCATTGCAGCGGGTCTGTCTATCCTTCTGCCTAATCCCGACGCATTCACCATAGTAACTCACACGGAAGGCTCACGTTATTCGGTGTTTTAGGTTCAAACACAAGTGAATGGTATGCGATAAAACTTTCTTGGTACAGAGAAAAAACAGCTATTCACTTCTGAATTCGGAAACCTCGGTGCAATAAATTCGACTCAGGGAGAAAGAAGAGTATAATTGTTAACAATGTGCGCGCTTAAGGCCCGCAAATAAGCCCCGTAAAATATGGTTTAGAAAAACACTTGGGTTCTTCTAATGTAGAGAACGAACGTGATTCCCGGTTCACAAACGTAAAATGCATTACAGGAGGATAAAACACATGCGAATATTACTCTGCGTTTTCCGTATTTATTTCGGGTCAAAACAACTCTTGTTACTCAAATGATATTCCACCGAATGACACGGTTGCATCGAATTCCCCAAATATATCAGAAACACTGTCCAACTCACCTCAAACTCGAGTCATATTACTCTTAAAAATCATCGGATAACGAACACCATTTGCGGCTCCTAAATAGAAAACATCCGCCTGTGTATTTCCGGCACGTGAGTCCCCATAAAATTAGCGGATAATCGGGCAGCTCACCACCGGTTTCATCACTGTTGGATCTGAATAGACTGTGTAGCTTAACAAGTTCCATCAAAGTGATGATCCAGTTTTAGCATCAGCTTGTTCGCAGAAGGTGAAGTACAGTGCAAAATCTCAAATGGTGCGTCAGCTGACACTTGCGACAGACTCTGTATGGTGCCTTCACTTGAAAAGAGTTTCGGTCGAATTTCAGTTAAATAATTAGAATAAAATTAATCGTTCAGCTGTAACACCCGTCTGGTGCCTAGCTGCCATGCCATTCAGAGGAAGCACGAGTGCTGGGATACTGCCAGGTCGCCCAAGCCTAGACAGGGAATTTCAGTTAACACCAAAGTGATTTGCTAAAGTGATTTTTGCCAATCCTGTACGTGTAAATCAGCATGCGGTGAATCCCCAAACAGAATTACTTTGTCAGTGCTGTCGCAAACTTAGCAAACTTAGCAAAAGCATAGCTTGACGTCGCTGACTACAGTTCCGTCTTGGCAGGCCACTTGCAAAATGCCTTCAAACATGTGTGCTAAAACGTCTATATTGGCCAGCCTGCCGATCGAAATGCTTATTGTTTTTAGCCTTTCTGTTGTCCAGGTACTGAAGATGAATCAGAAAAACTGTTAAAGATTTAGAAGAGAACTGAAAATGAAATCCATTTCTGTCTAACATTAAAAAAATATATTGGCCTTGTAGTTGGCTCACATCTTTATTTATTCTGCGTTAATGAAGGTTCCGGTTTTCGGTTTTACCACTTAGTAAAAAAGTGATCTCAGTTGCCTTGACAACGAGTGGAAGGGACGGTGAGCCGGATCACTTTGATTTGAAGTCTAAGTGTACGGACGAGTGTCCTTCAAGGCTGAACTAGTGCGCAAATGATTGTTCCGCGAGTTGCCTCCAATATGAGTTCAAATAGAACTCAAATAGAACTCAAGGTGTGCAGAAACTCTGGAACTACTCCTGCCTAATGAGCCCGGGAAAGTTCGAAACCAGTCTTTGGCCGTCCAAATGTTTTCAGCAACTTTGTGAGTAGTGAGTGTTTATTTTTATCCACACTTTTGTACTTGGATCCCTGGACCCAATTAGCCTAATCCGTATGTGCTCAGAAGGATAAACTATCAAATGAATGAGCTTTCTAACTTTCTAACTCTGAGTCTCGATTTAAAAAGATGTGTACTAGTAGGGTAAGCTGGTAGTACAGAGTGTGGGTGTACTATTTGAGTTGGTTTTTCATTCTTTTAACTGTGGTACGTAAGTGCGTCTCATCACTAGTGTGAATCACAGCAACCTGGTATATTTTGTAGGATATTTTAACCGAGCGACAAATTTAGCTGTAGGCTGAGCCCTACCACCACCAAAAAAGTCCCTAAATCTACTAATACCATAAAATATACGTAATTAATGGCTTACGTAATACTCATACAGTAGCAGGATCTTGGGACATCTTCACACTTGAATACACTGATGAGCCGGCAAAGACAGAAACGTAAGGCGGAGACAAGGTTGATTATTTCACCGCCCACAATATTTCGTAAGCTAAGGAGATTTACATCAAGAATTTTTTTAACTTGCAATAGAAGTAGACGTGTCACTTGATGTGACCAGAAAATATGGTTGATTAACATTTTCGGAAAAGAAATACGGCTGAGTCGACCGTTAAAACTACGTCAATTCCCGAGGCAACTATACCCCACACGGATGGAGAAGTCGATTATTCTTCATTGCCCACCTATCTCTTATTATAATGTGTCTTTGTACAGCAATCACTCATTAAGCAACAAACTTATCCCACGGGCACCTCATTGAAAGGAACAACTTTGGATGTTTCAGTGGTTTTTAACATCGTAGAGAACGCTGTCTTTAAGAGAGCCCTCCACATAAATCAAACTTGGAGGATGAAACATTTTGCGAGGTGACTCATAACAATACCACGATTCGCGATAGAATAATGATCAGGCAGTTGAGCAAGGAAACTACCACCTCCCCATTTATGTACGACAAGCCTATGAGTGGAGAGGTCTCGATTACCCAAACATTATGCCAGCTAAATCGAACGAAGTGGACTGAGCTCTACTCATCCAAAACAAGTCACATTACTATACACATTATATGCATATATATACAACATTATATATATATATATAAAGACAGAACTTCAACCAACTCACGGCATCCACTGGACCGAAAAGGTCGGGACTGTGTCATCAAAAACCGAACAGAAAAATCAGAATTTTGAGTACGCCGGTAGATCTTGGTTCAAGCCCAGTTATTGGCAGCATGGTGGAGCACGCATGAAAATGCGATTCTCTGGAACCACACAACATTACTTTGTGGCTTACCACGCACAAAGACAGAAGCGCTAATACTTTTGCATAACCTCTTGAATTCCAGTCATTCTAACTCATAACTCGTAACTCGGTATTTCCCACTGAATGTCCAAGATAAATATATACAATGAAGGCCGCCGGGTTTTAAATTAGTGTAAAACCATATTCCACTACCCACTTTTGATCCTGCTTTCGCCGAAGTTTTAAACACCAACTAATCGTTTCCTCGAAATACAAAGGAATGTGGACCCCTTTTGAAAGATGATTCTTTTTAGAAGAGAACAATGGAGAAAAATTCATCGTGCAGCCGCTCTTGTAGATTCAGATAGCCATGAAACAATTTTTCAATATTTCCCCAGGTTTGCGGGTTATGATGATTTAGCTTCAAATGGATAATTATGGTGGTGAAGAGCGAACAGAAAGATAACCAACACGATACTATTAAGATTGATGAGTTTTTCATTGTCCTACTTTCAGTTTCCAGATCTTTACTCAAAAATTTTAATGGACCTCGCCACACTATATCGTACTCGTTGTAAAATATGCGCCTCATAAATCAAATCGTCAGTATGAATGGGATTTACACATATTTTTCGAACGAGCGAATAAAATTTTAATGCAGACTTTCTGAAATCTTCTGTGTCTAAGGTCCTCAGACCTGAAAGGATCACCAAAAACCCACAAGTTATATATAAATGGTTTATTCTGAAGTGACATTATCAATTGAGTGATGAGAGCCGTTTATTGTCTTGGAGTTGCCATGTATCCGGCACTTGAATGTGCATCTGTCAGTATTACGACGAAGGAAATTTACCGGCAAGCTAAGCTCATTCATCGAGCCAATACTATCAAATTAAGCTACGGTCGACAGGACTCGAAGACCGATCAAACTTGAGTTTGTTTTGTGTAGAAATAACTGGTTTAACATGTCCCTGAAATTTCCAAATGGAACGGAGACTCATTACTTGATATATATGTATGGCATATGAAATAAATTTAATTCAGAATGTTTCAGGGAGGTTTGGTAAACAAACCTCTCTGATGACTTCCCAGTCGGTCCCAAACATTTTCCAATTGGGTGGTAACTGAGAAAGGTTTTGCACTCACTCGAAATTCAGATGACTTCCCGTCGGTCCCAAACATTTTCCAATTGGGTGGTAACTGAGAAAGGTTTTGCACTCACTCGAAATTCAGAGCTTCTTTGATACGTAGATTTTACCCTTATATTTTACTAAAACTGAGCAACCCGGGACTAAAGTTCAATAACTGAATGAACGCGGTCTTTATGCACCATTTTCTTTTGGAATACTTTATTTGAGAAAAAGCAATAAACCCAGCAGACTTGTCTAGATAGACCACCTAAGCTACCGTTTAACAGTGGTCTCTTCTTTATTTCGAAGTCTCCTCCAGAAGCACAGAAGCCTAGTTGCTCCAGATTTATCAGCGGTGCATTCATGCGACTTCACTGGACGCTTATCAGTACCCTTGGGTTCATTCCGTCCCATAACCTGATTCAGTTTCTTGATGCGCAAGACGACATCAAGATTAAACTGAAGCTTTTTGAAGCAGTACGTGGTCTTCCAGAACAGAGATTCGGTTTTATTAGAACAGATTTACAATGTAAACAACGGCAATTCTACCTGTAGATGCAGGTGAATTAACGCACGCTAGAGCAGTAGATCAACTCCTATTCAGTTTCAGCATCTTCTTTATTGTCATTTTTGTAGTAGTCCAGAGATAAGTCCAAAATTAAGCTTATGTGGTTGGCCAACCGAAACGTTACTTACTAGAGTTACTAGCTATTGAGTATTTTGAAACACATCTCCAACCAAGACTTACCTCAGACATCCATCTAGCCTCCTCTGAATCGAACACGATGTGAGGTGATTCCACACGGACAAGTCGTCTGTTTGGTATACTGTGATGGAAGTCACGCGCATCCAGGGGTCCACTACCGTCCGTTGTATGCTCCATTTGCACCGGCTGATATTCACCTGGAGCAAATACGTGTGATCTGGATCGTACTTTGTGTCGATAGTAAAGTGAAGATTTAAAACATCCGTGGACACTATTAGTCATTAGAAAAATGATAGGTAGCAGGTGGAATGCTGTGACGGGAGTTAGACGCCTGTATCGTCCATCAGACATTTGCAAACCTTGAATTTGGCTTTGAATGCGATATTGTTTTCAATCCGTACACTCTGTCTTCCTATCACAGACAGTTTGACCGTTCAAAATCAACGAGGCACACATTAAACTGAAGTCTTCTGAGAGAGGATTCCATTTATAAAGGCTTCTGATCCGTTGAAAATAGTAGTCAACACTTGCCGCAAATCGCAGTTTCACCAGTGTTGACCACTATGATACTTCATATTTCTTGCGGCCGTTATGTAAGCCCTGTGCTGTCGCGTGATAGTACAGCCATGCAAAACGCAGGTCAGTATGTGAACGCAGAAACCGTGCGGCAAGATCGTGTACAGCCCACGCGCGCTGGTCATGTATGCATAGAATGTACCGATAAGTTTACAAGGTAACAGAGCCCCCCATCGCAGTTCACAAGGCTTGGTCCGACAAGTTCTTCCATCCCCTCCAAGCCGGTGTGACGAGCCAATCAATAGCGTTCGGTTCATCACCTTACTGCCACCCCAACTGCCAGAAAGCGGTGAGAGTTGTTTGTTCACATACGGCGGGGGACAAGTATCAATCCTGAACACGCAAGGAACACAAAACGGCAGATTCTGGGTCATCGCAAACGATAGGGATGTCCTCGTGTGGTACGGACACACCTGTGAACAACGTATCAAGATCAGCATAGGTAGTGTGTCCGTACTGTGCGGATCGTCATTCCGACGCACATGTGCGTTAAATTCAGTTGGTTGCGCAACCAATAGGATGAAAGGAGGGTGAATAAACCATATTCTTAATCTGTTTAAAACCGGTTGTCCTAGGAAATCAATCGTCCGGTTTCAGTACTGGTTGTCTTCGGCGTGAAAGGATAGCTGTTTGACAATCCGTCAACTCCCCTCCTGCTTTCTGAAGGTCCTTTTCAATGCCTATTTTATAAAATAAACATTCATGCGAGTGAACGATTTTGCGTGGAAGTTTTTTTTCAGGTGACAGCTGAGTGTCATCATTCCATTCTTTATGTACCTCTTCTCTTCAGAGACTATATGTGAGATTCCCACATTTGTAGAAAGTAGTATTCTAAAATGGACAGTTGGGATTCGTCAGCGATAAAACTTCAGTTAAGGCAGGTAATTTATTGCGCTAAAATTTGACCGTTTTGTCTGCTCGGCCTGAGACGCGGATTTCTCGAAACTAAAGATCGCTGTCAAGCTTTCATGTTATCCCTTCAAGATTTGCACCAAAATGATATGAAAAGGGTGGAATGATTTGCACAGCCTGTGGTTGAAAGCTTAAATTAGTCACCATATTTGTTTGAAACAAACAATGAACCTTCCGCGTTTTTGTAAGGCCTTACGTGAGATACTGATCTCGCATAAACTCAAAGTTCAAGGAATTTGTTTACTGCCGAATATGTAACTTATAAGAACGTGGGTATGCAAGAAACTCGGACGTAGATCTTACTCAGGAGGCCAGCGTACTTAAAAGTGTCCCTTGGGCAAATTTTTCTAAGCTTTTTGACAACAAGTGCTTCTAGACTTTTATCACTCGTAACCTGATGACTGGGAAGATTACTGAGCATCCGGTTTCAACTGAGTGGCTTATCACCGCTTTTTATAATTTCTGATTTTCTTTTGCTAGTTTCAAGTAGGCCCATTTAAACAAGGATATGGTGAAAGTGGTTTAACCTCCTCAGTCTGTAGTAAAGTTCATAAATGACTGTGCCTGCGAACAGACGTAGCCAAACTTGGACCATTCCATAAAATGGGATGATAATCACCTCATATTTTCTTCATTTACCAAGTTTCTTTCCTCTATACCTCAGGCTGTATAGTGTTCAGGGTCGCTTTGATTTCCAAATGGTATAGCAGACAAACCCCAACACTACATAACAATCCACGGCTGCCATTCTTCTGGTCACCCCCATAAGTTCACTACCGCCACTTCATAGAATAAATTTCCTCTAAACAGTGACTGTCAAAATATTCCTAAGCCGTGTCTGAAGTGGCAGAAGACGTTCTCCTTACATGAAAAGAAAGTGGTATGAAAGAGAACTCTCTTAAAATATGGCGCCACCATTTGGAGTTTCAGGTTAATCTATCCCCATCAGTTACCGCCCCATACGAGAGTGTGCAAGAAGGAGAGGCTGAATGATCACCATCGTGGTTAACCATGGATACCTATCTTTATCTACGGTAATAGTTTTCACATCTTCGAGCACACCAGCGTCCCCATTCGCTCATTTTATGTGCAACGCACAAAAGTTAGAACCGTTAGAAAAACTGTCATCCGATGGTTGTCTGAAGAGACCTTGTAACCTTCAATGGAGATTCTGTCCTGTCATTGAAGCCAGTCTGTGTCGAAAAGCCGAGAAGCATTTAACACTTGTTTCATCCTCATCAGGAACTGTCAGCAGTGCTAATCTCATGCAACCCAGGACGTTTCAAATCCACGACTTTCCGACCAGGAGTTGAACAAAATCGTTTAGCCACGAGTGGCTGATCCGCAGTGAGTGTGTAGCACTTAGGCAAGACATAGCATCACTCTTATTTCTATCAGAGAAACCACATCATGTGGTCACTTAGTGACTGGCTACTCAAGTGACGACTTCTCGGAAGGAAACTTTGCACATCTTGTGAAATTATTCTTTCTTTGGTCTGCTAAGATACTGACAATTGTATGAGGAGACTTCGTAACTTTTAGCAGAGATTTCGTGCTATCGGTGAAGCAAATCTATGCTGGAAATCCCTACTAAGAATCATCAGCTGTGTACGACTCTCTCACTCTCCATCGATTAGAATAAGTATCAACCGATTGTGCTGAATAATGTACTCGGTATCCCAGAGAAAAAGAAATTCAAGCGGGCGAATAAAGTTCCCTCATTCGGCACTACTCTTAGGAAGCCCATCAGCAGTTTCCCCATCAGGTGGGCCTAGATCGAGAATTTCCACCAACCCAATTTCATCCTCGGAAATTAAAACAAACATCAGGTTTGATGAATTCTCCGATCGAGACTCTCTGACAGCGAATAAATGTCCTGCTTCGCAAATGCCCCTTATGTTTTTTCTTGCAACATAAGACTGATGAAAATGCGAGGGTTTGAGCAAAGGGCATAGAAGAGCTCTCTGAGAAGCAAAACTGAGCATAGAAATCCGTCTAATCGACCGGCTACAGAAGAAATTCAAATATCCCTTGCGTCGTAGCTGTCTTCGTATGTCCTTCAACTCATGCTGACATTTATCGATGGTGTTTTGAAAGTGCATAGGAAAATTGATCACTTGGTGTAGACTAATGAGGATAGCGGAATCTTATAGTTGTACCCACTTTCAATCTTGGCAAGCGGATTTCGTAGCTATGTCTACTTAGCGAAATAACTAGCCATGCCAAGTCTGAATTCGTTGGGACCTACTGATAAATAGGTGCACTTTGAAAGAAGCCAAGCCCGTTAGATTTGACGAAACCAGTCTTATCCCATTTTCTTATAATAGTCTCATTTACCCACCAGTGTTTTCCTTCAATGGAATTCCAGGTGAGTATCCCTATTATAATATTTTTCAAATGAAGGCGGTGCACAAAGGCCACCTTATGTTTCAAATGGTACGATATTCAGGATGTTGCAGTATATTTTCTCGAAGGAACACTACGCATAAAATTGCTGAAAACTTCTCGATAACCCACGAGCAGCTTTCTTCTTTGTGTAACACAAAAGGGAGACACAGACCCCGAGTTTCCATCAAACTTACCCTAATTGGACGAGTTCAAGCAGTTAGGCAGCTTTAAGCATCGTCATGGTTAATACTTTTCCAAGGAAAATATACTTTGGCATCTAGAAAATCGTACCAACTCAAACAATAGGTCAGCATTTTTGCAGCACATTCACTTGAAGGATATTACAAACGAGATATTCAGCTGGGATTCAGCTGAGTCCCTCTTTAAGAACAAATTGGTGTGCAGTCTGAGTCCAACTAGAGCAAAAGATTGATGGAGCCTGAGAACCTGCATCTTCTTGATGCGCACCAAGTAGAAAGAAACTGGTAGTGGGCTGTTTAAAAGACACTGGAGTAAACCTACTTACCATGCTATTCAAACACAAATACACCAGACTGTGCAGAGCATCTCAGATGAACATCACTCTAAAACAAATGGCTGGCACTATAGCTCTTATTTACTTGAATGAAGGGTGCGCATTTTTTCTTCTACGTGCTATCAGTACTGTAATGCTGGTTGCTGTCAAAAGCAACATCTATCGCATGTATTATTTTGCACTTAATATTCCTTGAACTCTGACCATACTACCTATGGGGTGGTTTCTATCTGTATGAACGGGGCGAGATGGCCCAAGTGGTTTGAGCGCAAATTTACTGACCGGAAGGTCCTTGGTTCGAATCCGACCTCCGCCACTCGACTTCCCCTGTCTAGGTTTGGGCAACCTGGCAGTATCCCAGCCCTCGTGCTTCCTTCGGATGGCATGGCAGCTAGGCACCGGAAGGGTGCTACAGCTGAACGCTTTATAGTGTATATGATTAGTTTAACCAAAAACAAGAAAATATATCAAAGTAGCATTTGTGCAGTCCAAAGAAAAGAGTTTCCCCTGGTAGAAAGCATTGAGTTGAAGTTAGATGCGACAGTCGATTTCCACCAAGCTCTTTCTCAAAATGGCGTGACAAAGCGGCATACATATCAGCTGATCACACGCAGTTTATCGTATAGCATTTTGTAGAATATCTTTGTAGAATATCCCAGCGTTTCAGGCACTAAATTGGTGGACAGAAGGTTCGTCGCTAGAATTCAACCCTGCTCTTATGTGTGCCTGGAGAACCTCATAGTATCTTGAGTCTCACTGCTTATTCAGGTTACACCGTATTTTGACACTGAAAGGTTGCTATAACTGAACATTTGTTTTTGTTTCTGTCTGTACGACAAAGCAACATTTTCCCTTTTACTTCTCGATCGGGAGTGGGCCTATCGACCAGCCAAAATAAGCCACCCGTTAATTACGTGACGTAATTATTTGTTTCCCTATTTCTCAGGCTAATTCATTACCCTTCCCGTGACTGCTCAAGCTTCAAGACTGAACTGTTCTATTTTATACAAAGTCGACTCTATATCAACCGTTGTTCTATAGTCGATTTGTTCAGATTCATTTCTGGGCTTGTTGAAAATTCGTCCTACTTTGAACGGAACAACATTTTCCCGTTTAATTTGTCCGACAGCACACTGCCCTTCGTGTGCCATCCTGTG